AGATGAGATTAGACGTACAGCGGGTTGGTCTAAACCTCGGACGTTTTTGCAAGGTTTTAAAATCGGCCTATTATTAAAGACTCGTCGCTTCATACTGCGGTTCTTAACAGTGCTTAAATTTATTATTAATTACTTATTTACCAAACCCATGTACAGGAACATCTGAACTTGTCACGGGTTCTTTCTTTTTATTTCAGTTTAAACTATCACATCTAGATAAACTGATGTTCTACATTTTTCATTCTTATAAGCTTAATTATGGAATATGTTTATTTATTTTTGCATTCAGCATTGGTAAGCTGATTTATAAAATACTCTTAAATTATTATATTCTACGTTCAAATGTATTTTATTTTCTGTATCTCTTGTAGTTACAAGAGTCTGACGCATTAAAATGTTCTGTATCTCAGACTAACTAAAGTTCGACATTAATTGCATACAAATCTGAATGTTAAACATTTACATGTATCCATCCGGACGAGACGTTGCATAATTGGATAATTAAACGAACTTACAGTGAAGTTCGATTGCAATTATGCTGTCTCGTCCGGATGGAGGATCTCTCCCTCCCACAACCTAAACTCAGATTTGTTTACGTTAAACTTATGAGCACCCGCGGCGTCGCTAGGCGCGCGCTAAGATACGCGCCTTTTTAGAATTTTATAATCTTTTAAAGATCCTGTTGAGGATAGTGCAGCGGAACGCTACTACATGTATCCATCCGGACGAGACAGCATAATTGCAATCGAACTTCACTGTAAGTTCGTTTGATTATCCAATTATTCGTATATAGAAAAATATTTTATACATGTAATTATACATGTAATTATAAGAACTAACATAAGCTTTTCAATCGACCGTAACCGACGGTAACAACTAAAAAGTAAACAATGTGTTATGATATTAGGCATTATATATTATTGATGTGTACAGAGTCGACCGCGAGACGTAAACGCGAGTAAGTAAACGCAAAATCTTGAAAGACGAAAGAAGTGTGTTAAAATTGTTAGCTATTTAGATAGAGAAATAAAATATGTAGAGAAATTATTGAAAATTTAATTACTTATAACATAAAATATAAAATATACTTATAACATTAAATATTTTATACATTTATTTTCAGTAATTTCTCTATATGTTTTTTTTCTTTATATTCTTTAACAATCTTAAACTTTTAAAATTTTTGATAAATCTCGAACGGTCGAGAATTTATATAATTTAACTTGACTTTTATTTTTATTTTAATTTTTTATTTTATTTATATATTTATTCTTTTTATTTTTGCAGAAGATTTGGAGCAAAAAATCGCTGCACAGCAACAATTGGATCAGTTGATGACAAATCAACAGCAGCTTCAATATCAGATAATGTATTTGCAGCAGTAGCAGCAGCAACATCAAAAGGAGTTGCAAGGACAATTTAATGAAAACGGTATTTGTCTATTTGTACTAAAAGTGTTTAGATTAGATTCGTTAAAATTAATATTTCTGTCTTATAATAATAATTTAAACAATAATTTATAGTGTAATAATAACCGGCAATAAATAATACAATTTTGCACTTTTTAATTACTTATGCTTATTTTTCAGATACAAACGAAGAACAGGATCGCTGACCAGGGTGGTCGAGATGGCCGAGATGGTCGAAGGGACCGTGGTGGCCGAAGTAACCGAAGAGGCCGAGGGGGCCGAAGGGGCCGAGGAGGCCGAGGGGGCCGAGGAGGCCGAGGGGGCCGAGGGGGCCGAGGTGGCCGAGGTGGCCGAAGGGGCCGAGGAGGCAGAGGGGGCCGAGGAGGTCGAAGTGGCCGAGGAGGTCGAGGTGGCCGAGGAGGCCAAGGAAATATTATTTATAAAAATATTTATAAAAATTGTACTTTTTATTAAAAAATAAAAAAATAATTTTTGCAAATTATGTTTTTATTTATATAAGGTGTCCCATTTTAAATAATCCACTTAAATATCTCAGAAATACCGCGTTAAAACAAAATTTTTCAAATAAAAGTTGTAGGATTTGGAGGGGGAAAGAAGATAGGGATATTAGTTTGATCTTGGGTGGAAGCGTTTCTGATATTTGAAGGTCATTTTTATTTTTTCAAATGGAACTAATTTTTTTATAGAAATCGATTTCTTGTAATATTTATCGTAAAAAGTTATAAGGGTAGGATGGCCAAAAATTGAATAGATAGATAGATTTCACGAGATATTTTATACTTTAATTTGACGTAATTTTGCATAAACTGTGAAATATCTCGTTAATTATTCATTTTTCAATTATCTTGTCTCAATACTTTTATGCACAAAATAATGAGAGGAATTAATTGGTATAAAAAAAAGACATAGTTGTCGTTAAGAAAAAATTTAGCAGAGCTATATTTAAGTTATATCTAGTAAATATGATATAGTATACTTTCTTCTTAAATATATATATATTTTTTTCTTAAATTCAAATATGTATTTTTTTACACCAATTGATTCCTCTCATTATTTTGTGCACAAAAGTGTTGAAGTAAGATAATTGAAAAATGAATATTTAACGAGATAGTATATGTAAAATTATTTGAAAAATTTTTTTATTTAACTCGGTGTTTCTGACATATTTAAGTGGATCATTTAAAATGGGACACCTTGTATTTCTCATTACTCTTAATAGCATTACAGGCATAATAAAATCAAAATATATCGCCAATATACACGCAACGCGCAAAAGTACAAGTACTGTGAGTATACAAAGTACAGTAAGTATATAGATACAAAATTACAGTGTCAACTACTGTAAATTATTTTAACCTGTAAATAACAAGTGTAAAAAAAGTGGTACAATAGGGCTTTAGGCGACAATCCACTTAAA